CTTACGCCTCATATGGGTTCCAGCACGCCGTCCTCTCCGCCGTTTGTGAAGACCATTTGCACGGATCCTGTTATGCACGGTCAATGGTAGTTTTATTTCAGAGCAGTCATGGCGAATACTCAAAAGAGCTTGTGATGAATACTGGAGATTCCTCTCCATTATTGCAGTTGTGAGCAAAGAAGTATCAGAACTACACAAACGATAGTGAGGTGAATTGTTTCCAGCACTAAATGCTTGATGAGATCCGGTAAAAGCATTTACATGTACATGTAGTTCTGTGTGTGCAGGTAGGCCGACGTAAGTAATGGCTGCCAAACAATGTAACGTTACATGTACATAGACATGTACATGTACATATGCAGATTGCACTATCACCAGCAGGGAGACAGCAAAAAGCAGTATTTTGCCGTATTCAGACGAAATAGCATATTTCTCGGCATGCATCATCGATGTATGGTACTTACAGAATCATAGTTCAACGTCAGTGATTAATAACACGGAGTCTGAGGGCAAGAATTCGGCAAAAAAGTCAGAAAATCTCGGAGTATTTAACGTGTGCAGGCAGCAGCTTGAACAGCGCCCTCAATCATGGGTGGATGTGGAAACCAAGACTTCAGTCTGGGTGTGGATTGAAGTATGTTGAAGTTGTGGAGAAGAATGTTGGAAATATTGGGGAGATTGGGGTTGTATGGCAGACATAGAGGTATGCGGGTACTGGCATCCTTTGTGTGGCGGGGATTTAGAGCGTTGGAAAGGTTGACTGTGCGTGCTCTGGCGAATGCTTGATTAATTAGAGTGGAGGGGTAGTTGCGTTTCCGAAGTTGGAGACGAAGAGTTTCCAAACGCTGTTTGAAATCCTCATCATTAGAGCAATTGCGTCAGAGTCGTTGGGCTAGGCTGAAAGGGAGACTCTTTTTGGTGTGGTGGGGGTGGCACGAATTGAATAACAAATACTGGTGGGTGTCTGTAGGCTTGGTGTGGAAAATCCAGTGTGAGTTGGAAAGCTCGTGTGTGAATTTGATGGTTAGGTGGGCGGAGTTACAGTATTCAAGGAACTCATCGAAGGTGGAGCGACTCCCTGACCAAAGCAAGAAAATGTTGTTGATGTATCTCCACCAACAAATGGGTTTGTGTGGAGAATAAGTGAGGAGTTTGGCCTTAAGCTGACCCATGAACTAATTGGCATAATTGGGGGCCATGGCAGTGCCCATGGCCATACCTTGAGTCTGAAGATAATGATTGTTATTGAACTCAAAATTGTTTAATGTGAGTATGAGTTTGATGAAGTTCTTGAGTGTTTCTGTGGAGGGTTCTTTAGATGTGCGATCATCGTGTGGTATGTTGGCGTAGAGAGATATGACATCTAGAGAGGCGATGAGTGTGTGAGGTGGGAGGGGCCCAGTTTGATTTATGATGTCTATTTTCCGTAGAAAATCGCTTGTGTCCTGAATGTAAGAGGGCAATTTGCGAACCAGGGGTTTAAGGTGATGGTCAACAAACTTTATATGTTTTCCATGGGGGTGTTGTTGCCAGATATGATAGGGCAACCTGGGTTTCCTTCCTTATGAATTTGAGGGAGCAGATAGAATTGTGCAGTACGGCAGTTGGATGGCGTTGAGAAATCCCTTATCTTTTTTGTTGATGTCTTCCTTATCATAAGCAACTTTAATAGCATCAGAGACTATTTTGATGTGTTTGGGAGTGAGGTTGGATGGGAGCTTTTTATAGAAGTTGCGGTCGTCAAGTTGTCAATTAGCCTCATTTATATACCAAGTTTTGTCCATTACTACTACAGCCGAACCCTTATCAGCTTGCTTGATTACAATGTCAGTTCTTTGACGGATTTCTCTGAGGGCCTTGTGTTAGTTATTGGGGAGGTTATCATAGGTATTACGGACAGGTTTACTCAAAGTGTCTGGTCTGATGCAGTCAATGAAAACCTCAATGGCGGGGACCCTGTTGGTTGGGGGTGTCCATGTACTCTTTTTCCTAAACTTGAGTTCTTGGCATGAGTTAACTGGTTCTGTTGAGTCTTCGTCGTGGAAGAATTCCCTCAGGCGGAGGCGTCTTCCGCATTCATTGATGGAGGCTTGTGTTTCCAGTGGTTTTGGTGGGTGGGGTGTAGGGCAGAATGAGAGCCCACGAGATAGAAGGGCTGTCTCATCCGGTGTCAAGGGCGTGGCTGAGAGATTTATCACTACGGAGGGGTCCTGGGTGTGTTCCTGCTGGCTTGCCCGTTTGCGTTGTTTGTATAGTTTATGGGGGATAAATCTGCAAGATCTTGATGCACGTTTGCCGGTAACTATACACTAATACGCAAACAAATGAAATGCTTAGAAATGGAAACACTCATGTTTAGGCAAAGTCAGTCCTAAAAATATCAAAGTCACAGAGTGGAAAACAACTTAAGAAACTAATTAATAGAAAGAATTACTACAAAATATCTATATCACTGAATTTGTAACCAAATATACCCAAATAATGAAAACAAAACTCACCAAAAGAAAAAGCAGACGAGTCAATCAAGGCATGCATGTAGGGCTGGGGATAGAAACGTTTTGACTGTTCCTCTTCACTGCCTGTCTGCTAAATGACATGCTCCACACACAAGGATGGGGACATTCCTAAGTGTTACATAATCTGAGGGATGAGCACTCTTAAATGTACAGGGGTCAATCTAGGTACCATGTGAAGCACAGGGGAACTTCACCAGGGTGGGTCATACTAGCAAAAACAATAATGCATGGGAAACTACTCCTACAAAAACAACTAAGGGAAATTTGCCCCTATTACACCTGCATAATGTCAGGTTAATTGGCAAGACTGTATGGTGCAGGATTCCATACTTTGGGATAAGTTAATCCTCATCTGTTCTTAGCATGCATGCACATCTTCTACGTCTGTCTCCAACCACCATGATTCCACTGACTGAGATTAATTTCTTCAGCCAGGAGTTATGTAGACCGATCTTCATCCTCGGCAAACAGCAGAATTTTGACATGCTTCGAGTCTTTAGAACAAGTATTTGTCCTACAGAGTCTGATCAGATGTGGTTTTATGTAACTTCATACATAAGGGGTTCATCAGACACTTCTTTGAAGCATTATAGACTGGAATTCTTATTTACCTCGGTTCTCCCTGACCACGAGCTTCTGCTTCAACTTACACTTGTTTGTTGCTTTAGAGAAGGCTATCATTCCTTAGGGAATGAACTACCAGTAGATCAGGATACTTCCAACTGGATTGGTTTGGGTTTACTTCACCTTTTTTCTCAGTCGGTATAAGTCTGACATATGGCGGCCCATTATCAAAGTTTTACATTCAGCATAGGACTTCAGATGGAAATGCTGTCTATATACCTCCCTCCATTCTCTGAAGACAGGTCGGTTCGCTGCTTGCATCCATCATTGGGATGCTAATGTCCTTGTACGGTACCCATACGTGGATCATCAGAAGTTGGAGTTCCGTGTACCTACTGGGTTTCACTGCAGACTTTTTGGATTTTCACATTTCCTTTGGGTCTTTGTTGTGGCAGCATTCCTTTTTACAGCAAAACAGATCCATTTGCTCTTGTACTTAGATGATAGGCTATAACAGACCTTATCTGCAGTATAGCCTTTAAAGTCTGCCTAACTCGCATTTGATGATGTTTTTCAACTTCAGTATCGAGCTCCTTCCCGACAACTGACCTACCTTGAAACATTTTCCAAATTGGTGTCAGGCATTTCTGGGGAATTTGCAGTATTTTTTTGTTTGGCCTACATGTAAGTAGGGATATGACAATAAGCCAGTTCGGTATGAATCAAATTAGGTTTTGCCCTTCACCGACGTTTAAACACTGTGTACTCGGTGTGTATTACCTCCCGAGTGAAAGTTGGGAAAAATCACTCGGGTGGGACTCGAACCCACGACCTCCTGCTTTCTAGTGCAGATGTCTTACCACTCGACCACTGAGCTAACGGGATCGGTTGGCTGGTTCGAATCTGTGATTTTTCCCGAGTGATTTTTTCCCAACTTTCACTCGGGAGGTAACACACTGAGTATACAGTATTTAAACGTCGGTGAAGGGCAAAAACCTAAATTGATTTATATCACCCCGACGCAAAATTTCATCTTATAACAGTTCGGTATGTTTAACTGTGCATTGCGCACAATGTTAGGAGTCTAGTCAAAAGGGAATGAATGTGTGGGGAGACGGGCACACAATACTCGCGTTTTAATTACAAGCAGAATGGGTGTTTGTGTAACAGCGCGAAAAAAAAATCAGCGATTTTATTCCGAATGACATTTGACCATGAAACTTCATTGAGATACCAAACTGGCTTATTAGCTTGACAAAGTAGGACATTTATTTCCTTGTCACCATGACTACAGAAAAGCCATCCTTGTTTTTAAGATGGGATACAATGGTATCCTTGGCTCAAAATTTCTTACACTAATATATTCTACTGGTATGTCATGTCCGTTGAGAAGAGGAACTTTGAATGGGAACATTTAGTTCAGTACCAATCTTATTACAAATGTTACTTTCTTTCAAATCATTGCATCTATTTGGCATTCAGTTGAATACAGATCTTGCTTTCATTTTAAGTATTTGTTGACAAGCCTAATATTTGTTTTAATTATTTACATTACTTGTTGATTAATTTAGTATTTATATGCTTTGTTCCTCCTTTATTTCATACTCTTTATAAAAAATATTTATGCTGTTTATTGAGTTTCTCATTTAAAGGGAAGATACAAGTCAGTTCAACAATATTTGCTGTAACATACAAATCCTCCATATCCATTTATTTCTCAAAAACTGCATCAAAAGCACATGTTGTACATTTCCTTTAATGTTATTTATTCATGGAACCATTTTGTGTCTTGTATTTTCAGCAATGTGGAAATAAATGTACTGGTATGAATAATTGTTTGAGAAATACATCATTTTATTACATGTATTAGTAAACATTTACATTGTACTGTACTGATATTTCAATGTGATGTTCTTCCAGCTATCTTCATTTAGTGGAAGACACCGTTCTCCAACCACTTGGAGTTCCAAAAGCTGTGTAAGTGCTGGCTTCCGATATCATGGTGGCAACATGATTGCAACAGACACAGATGCTTCAGAGTTGCTGCTACGACACTATGTGTTTGAGGCATTGATTGGTATGTGCAAGAAACAAATTCAGATGATTTATACAGAAATGTTAAGAGATGTTTTTAGTACTAATCAAATCAAATTTTTGTCATTTATCATAACTACACTATAAACATATACGCAATTTTCTATTACGAATCCAAGTGCATGTACAGAGACCATTTCATTTTGACACCCCTATGTATGTACCTTTATTTCTTCTTTTAAGTACAAACTTAGGGTCATTAGTTTGCGTGTCTAGGATACATTACCTGCCTTATTCCAGGGTCTGTTCTAGCTGGATAGTGCAAAGTTGCAGGGATGACACATTCAAAAGTCAATCAGATTGTTGTAAATGAATGTCCTCAACCAATAACATTTCCCAATCTTAGATATTTTGCCCTTCATCAAGGTTTTGCCCTTCATCAAGGTTTTGCCCTTCACAGACATTAATTATAAACGCTGTATACTCATACTGGCTGACAGACTTCACAAGGCTATACCCAGAGGGCCTCCAGCCCATGCAAGACCACATTCTTAACCACTTGATTATTGAGCTTGCTGGGGGTCAGCTTGCTGGTTCCAATCTGCAACGTGGCAATGAACACAGTGCGAATTTCACCCTGAGTGTGTGACATGCATTTTTGTTGTCCAGGCACGTGATCAACCTTGACCAATCAATGCAAGACCACGTTCTTAACCACTTGATTATTGATTATTTAAGTTCATTCAACAGAAGTCTGTCTGATCACTTCCAAGATCTCGGATAACTTTTCTATAGTGCTCACCTGATATGTATATTTATGTGTAAATCTCTAGTTCCGCTTGTGTGTTTGTTTTTCAACAGCATTTCATTTGTATGTTTTTGGGGGTGTTTGTTTGTTGGGTTGTTTTGGTTTGTTTGTTGGGATGTTTGTTGGGGTGTTGGGGTGTATTATCCCTCAGCCGAGAGGCTCGAGGGGTATTGTCATCGCCTAGGGCGTCCGTCCGTCCGTCCGTACGGACGTCCGTCCGGGCAGCTCAGTTTCCGGATGATAACTTGAGTTAGAAATGTTGTTTGGGGTTGTAACTTCGGTAGGGGTTTGCCCTTGGGAGTAGGCAAGTTGGGATTGGTTTTGAGGTCAAAAGGTCAAAGGTTAAGGTCACCGTGGTGAGTTTAAGGTAAATGGTTTCCGGATGATAACTTGAGTTAGAAATGAGATTTTGGTGTCTAACTTTGGTAGAGGGTTGCCCTTGGGAGTAGGCAAGTTGGGATTGGTTTTGGGGTCAAAAGGTCAAAGGTCAAGGTCACCATGGTGAGTTAAAGGTAAATGGTTTTTCGGATGATAACTTGAGTAAGAAATGAAATTTTGGTGTCTGACTTAGGTAGGGGGTTGCCCTTGGGTACAGGCAAGTTTGGATTGGTTTTGGGATCAAAAGGTCAAGGTCACCGTGGTGAGTTCAATGTAAATGGTTTCCGGATGGTAACTTGAGTAAGAAATGAGTTTTTGGTGTCTAACTTCGGTAGGGGGTTGCCCTTGGGAGTAGGCAAGTTGGGATTGGTTTTAGGGTCAAAAGGTCAAAGGTCAAGGTCACCGTGGTGAGTTAAATGTAAATGGTTTTTCGGATGATAACTTGAGTAAGAAATGAAATTTTGGTGTCTGACTTAGGTAGGGGGTTGCCCTTGGGTACAGGCAAGTTGGGATTGGTTTTGGGGTTCAAAGGTCAAGGTCACTGTGGTGAGTTTAATGTCAATGGTTCCAAATGATAACTTGAGTTAGAAATGAAATTTTGGTGTCTAACTTCGGTAGGGGGCTTCCCATTGGTACAGGCATGTTGGGACTGGTTCTGGGGTCAAAGGCCAAAGATCAAGGTCACCATGTTGAGTTAAAGGTTAATGGTTTTCGGATGATAACTTGACTCTGGCTGAGGGGTTTCAACAGCAACGCTGTTATTTATTGCTTTGACATTGTACTTTTGTTCATTTGTTGGCCGAATAAATAATGATAATAATAATGAAATTACAGAGTCTAAGCGCACGATATAACAATTGTATTTATTGCATACTTCCATGACTGTATACACATGGTGGTGACTATGAACATTGCTGGCAACTGAAATAAACATACCATTTTCTGTTCAATGTGACAAAAAGTGGCCTCAGTTTGAGGACCTTGACAGAATCAAGCAAATTCAAATCCATCAGATAAGCAGCAGAGATCATATTCAATATAGTGACATGTTTTCCAATGTTTGATTTCTTGTTAAGCAGCCAAGGATAGGTCGCCCTTATGGGACCAGGTTCAATTTTGGGAGGATTCCTTTCTGGATTCTGTAGCAGCTGAGAGGGATGCAGTTGGCATGGATCAAGGACCTGCTGAAATGATTCACAGGTACATCATATTATCTCACTACACTTTTCCATCACTGTGAAAGTACTGCTGTAGGTATTTATTCATCAACTGAAAATGTAATTTAGTCATTTCAATCCAGTTCAGCTCCTAAGTGGTCATTACAATAAAGGTATCTTTTGTCTAAAGAGTCTGTGGCAAACAAATTTGATATTACTTATTACCTCACCCGAATACTCCAAATGCAGCTATAGAGTGTGATTATTGCAATAGTACACATTCTCGTAATAATACATGTCTGTAATCATCACAACAATGGCAATAACAACAACAACTAGTGACAAATAAATTCAAAGTGTCGTGCTAATGTTGCAGGGTATCAACCTGCTAAAACAAAAAATAACATGCTTATTGCTTGGTCAAAAAGTGACTCCGAGAATCTCTTTGTTTTAACTGTTGATTGATACGGATGGCACACATACAAATTCTAAATGTAGTTGTAACACTTGTACTGCATCTTGGAATACTATCAGTAACACAACTAGCCTATTACTTTCCTAAAAAAATGATTTGTAAAGGATAATTAAATAACCCCTAGTACAGATTGTATAAGAGGTTGCCAATTGGTCTGTTTGTTTCAGATATGACTCCCTTACTCCAAGTGAAAAGAAGAGACTTGAAGAAGATGAAGACAAACTCCTTGCGGGTTAGTAGCAAACAGTTTAATCAATTACATTGAACATTGTCTCCAACAGTTTCTGTGCTCAATTCATACATTTTCATTAGGAATGAATGCAAAGAAGTTCAAGGAAGCCAAACAAACTCAACTGTTGTTTACATTCTTTAATAATGTATCAAGCAGACTGTCTGACATATCAAGCGAATACGCAAACGTGTTTATATACGAAAGAAAACTGAGCTTCATGTAATCATTTGCTTACATGATGCTGGATCAATGCTGGTTCTGGGGCCATTTATTCGCTTGTTATTGAAGCCGGTCTTTATATGACATGTTAATGCACCCCCACGTGATCGAGTCTCGACCAATAAGAAGCTATCGACTATCCAAGGTACATTCTTTAATAATGTATCAAGCAGACTTTCTGACATATCAAGCGAATACACATACATGTTTATAAAAAAAAAGTGAGCTTCAGGTAAAATTTAATAACTAGTGCATTTGGCCAGAATGTTTTATGATGCTCGCTGCCTGGCATTCAAAAAGAAAGGGAAACCGTAACATTCACAAAGAAACACTGACTAAATAATTGACATTTGAATTGATAAATAATATTGAAGCTTTTGCCAGTGCACATGTAGGTATTATTTTACTTATTTTTCTTCTATTTTCATTGATAGATATGTTGTCCAATGCCATAGCGTTCATGATTATGATGAAATTACCCAAGCCAGAAGTAAAACGTAAAGTTCGTCGTTTATTGGGACGGTCTCACATCGGTTTAGTCTATAGCCAAGAGGTGAATGACCTACTGGATCAAATCAACAATCTGGTAAGAAGAACCACTTCTTTTCTTATAAGAATGTATTGTAATTTCCAAAAGAACACTTGATGTTTGACAAATGTCCAGTATTGTTGACATTTTCTCTGCCCTTACCATTTACGAGTTTCACCCCCCCAAAACAATTTTTGGGGGGCAGGACAAAGATTATTCACTTTTGAATGAGAACTTCTACTGAGCTGTACTTACCCGTAAAGTATTAGTGAGTATTGCTACATATGCATTATTCCCTAGAGGGCACTAGCCATTCACACAGGCTGCAAGTTACTCAAGCCGTACCCAAGTACGCGCTCAATTACACGCCTACATGCTCAAGAAAAGAGGAAGTATTGTGGGCGGGCCGCATTGGCCAGTGCCCTCTGGGGAATACATGTAATGCATATGTAGCAATACTCTATGGGTAAGTATTTGCTATTAGAATCGGCCCACACCTTTTTTTTGGGGGGGGAAGGAATTTACTGTACAAATTAAAAATGAATTGAATGGGATTAACCTGAATTTTACAAATAAAAAAAGTGGTCTGTCCTCCAGTCCTTTTTTTGTGTTTCTCCTTGCGACCCTGCATGCTTATGTGCCCCCTACATATTTGTTCCTTGTTCCTCTGTCATTTGCCTCTGAAGAAGGTCTTGCTATTTAACATGTTTAAAGGCTGAAATATCAGGTCATTTTAATTGTTTGCATTGTGCCAAGTGTTGATTATTTGCATCCTGACAATAAGTCTTTAATAAGTCTATATCTTTTGGGCATTATTTGAGCAAAGCAATCCAAAATATAAGTGTCTTTTCAGAGGATTGAAAACATCCAGGATGGGGAGAGTAGACAAATTGAAAAGTTGTTAAAAGAAAAAAAAGATGAGTTGAGCAACTTGCATGAAATACGTGACAGAGGATGGTGTCTGTGAAAGGTGAGATTGTGAGTATTTGTGTATTAGAATTAACGTCGTCAAGTTTGCTCCAGACATCGTCAATGTAGCCATTGTTATTGAACTAAATGTCTAGGCATATCTAACTCAGTAACATATTGCTCTGATTCATGCTCCCATGTTATTTAGCATGGCAATGACATTGATCTGAAGCCATCAGGCAGTAAACGTATGCGGAAACATTCATTTGTGGTTCATGCTGGGACTGACACTAAAGGAGATGTGCTTTTCATGGAGGTAACATATTCTTAATATATTCACATAGTAAATGAAAATAGAAAATGTCCCCCCTTGTCATTCATTGATTGAGGTCTGGAAACCTAGTTTTACTGGTCTTGTACTCAGTTTCTCTAGGGCTCTGAACCTCAAAAGTCTCAGTCTTTGTCTCGGGCCTCATCAATGCCTCTCAATCACGACTCGAGGCTAGACAAGACCAGAAATAAAACTAAACGTGTGTTTGTAGGTGACAAAACGGGGCTATTTCGGCATATTTCATGCATGTTTAGTTTATAGGCTGATAGGATAAACATGTGCAGTGGACAGTTGCAGAATGATTAGATGTGTAGTTCTAAAGATATATCACACTGATGAAATGCAACATCAATGCTGCATCAGTGACACAAGGCATAAAAATAAGGGGGACATTGACAATTGAACATTTGGAAACAAATTGTACACTATAACTCTGCAGATAATTCTTTGAAAATTCACTTTTATTGTGATGTCACATGGTATGTGATGACATCATGACGTCTCATGATATCCCGTTCTAGGTACATTCCAAGTTACAACCAAATTAAACAAATAATTCTTAAACTATAGGCCTACAAACATCTACTTTCATGTCACAACACATGATGCTTGATGACACCATCATGACATCACTATAACACATCCCAGTCTATGAATAGACCAAGTTTCAACCCAATTGGTCCTGTAGTTCTGTAGATATGGACCTTCAAAATATGCATCTTTAATGTGACGTCACAGGATGACATCCTGAGTGTGCCAACTATGAAGGCACTTGGATTGACATAAGAGCCCAAAGTACTAGGAACGTAGAAAACATGTACACATGCTATGGAAAGGTGTCTTTAAAAAGAAAAAAAAGAAAGGTAATGAAGGTAATGATCCAATCCCCCCCCCCAAAAAAAATGTAAACAAACACAACACTTTTTGGGGGGCTAGTTTAAGAAACAAAGTATGTTAAAAACATATCCATATTGTCCATTCTGTCTCATCAAACACACTTATCACAACAGCCTTCAGATGTACAAACACAAATGAACGTGATAAGCTGAATCCTTTTTCAAAGTTTTATCAAATATTGAGTCACTGATCAGAATGATCTGACAATGTGAATTGCCGTCCGAACTCTTGGCTTTTCAATGATTCATCATTTGAAATTATCCCTAGTCCTCCTTAGTACATGTACATTAGTAATAATGGAACTACAACATAAGTTATACATGTAGCAACATATATATTTTTTATTTCCATTTTAAAAATGTTGTATTACATGGGCCATTAATTTTTCAATCATTTAACAGTAGGAATCTATTGCCATGTTAAATTTGTATCATTTAAATATTTTTGGCTGTTTCGGCAACTTGATGAAACAGCCTTTGTTTTCGTTAAGAATGTTTTTGTCTTTTTTGTGTTTGTCGTTTTTCAGCCATTTCCCTTAGCATTTGTACACCTTTTCATCATGCATGGCACTTTGGGGCCAAAAATTAATCCGATTGCTTTTTACTCGGCGCACACTTAGACCAGCAGATGTGTGCTGAACATTGACGTAATCATGACATCATCACGTGTCACGTGACATCACAATAAAAAAGGTGCATACTTTGAAGGTTCATATCTCCAGAACTGCAGGTCCGATTGTTTTGAAACGTGGTATGTACCTAGACCGGGATGTGTTATGGACGAAAATTGAAAAGACGTAATGATGACGTCATCAAGGGTCACGTGACGTCACATTCAAGATTAATAGATTTAATCTTTGAAAATCAATATAAAATCAACTATGAGAGAGACCTGAACTGGACATTTGCGGAAATTGGTAGAATAATCCAGGATCTTTATTTTATCTCGGTGCGCAAAATCACGTGACCCTTCCTTCCAGTCCAAACCGGAATTGCCTTACAATTTGAAATTGGAAAAAAAATGTGAACTTGCTTTCAATGGTGTTAGTCTCTGGCTAGGTTGTACTTAAAAAAAAAATTACCGTTGACATCACAAAATGTTCTAACGCCCTATAGCGGCAGGTTGAACAATTTTTAAAATTAATAATCAATTTATGCGTGTGGCAAAATTTGCTGAAATCACTTATTTTGCTGAAATTCACATGTGAAAAAATTGTGCACTTTTGCATAAAAGCGTGAAACTTGGCACAGATGTTTATATTCATGCGAGAAAATGTTTTAAATGTGGAGCCATCGCAAATTTACCTTTTTAGGGGCGTGGCATCCATTTAAAAAAGGGGGGCGGGACTTGTCGTGCCCGCAGTTAAAACGGTTGTTTCCACTTGTCACAAAAGTAGGAAACTTCACAAAGACATATTGATATAGATTATAAGTGTTTTCCAGATTCGGAGCCACCACAAAAGTACCTTTTTGGGGCGTGGCAGCTATTAAAAGAAAAGGGGGGGGAATTTATTATCCCCACCTTGGAAAACATTGTACCCATATTTCATGAACGAATTAAACGTCCCACAGACGTTTATATTCATGAGATAAAAAATTCCAGATGTGGAGCCATCTCGAACACACCCTTTTAGGGTCGTGGCAACCATATAAGAAAAACAGGAGGCGGGGTTTTCATTATGCCCACCCTGGAAATATTGTTCCCACACTCATAGGGAAATGTAACTTTCCACAGACGTTGACATTCATGAGAAAAACAATGCCAGATGTGGAGCCATCGTAAACACACCCTTTTAGGGGCGTGGCAGCCATATTGACAAAAAGGGGGGGGCGGGGTTCTCATTATGCCCAACATGGGAAAAATGGGCCTGCGTCGCATAAACGAATGAAGCTAATTCCCACAGGCATTTATATTGACGAGAAAAAAAATCACACGTGAAGCCATCGTAAACACACCCTGTTAGGGGCGTGGCAGCCATAGTAAAATCGGGGGGCGGGGGGTAGTCATGATGCCCCTATAAAAGAAAGTTGTGCCTATACCTTTCATAAATGGATGAAACTCCACACGGACAATATATTCATGAAGATCTTTTTTTTTTTTAATGTGAAGCCATCACAAACCTACCCATTTAGAGGCATGGCGTCCATTTTTAAAATGGGGGGGGGGGGTACTCAATATGCACACCGTGGAAGATTTTGACCGCGTTTCATTTAATAAATCCACCTCAGATAGCTCTTCTAATGTGTTGGAGTAGGGCTGCCTTTATAGTTGGAAGTTACTGTTGGCAAACCCTTTGTTTTCTTACACTATGCATTCTTGCCTCATCTATATTAACCCAGTTACTGGTTCTGTTGTCTGTAGAATTATTGTTAACCTCTGAACTGCAGCAATTTCTGAATTGGGGTGTAAACTGGGGTACGTCAGTTAGTTTTGGAAAGACTAGTGTTACTTCTTCAAATGCATTGTTTCCCCTGCCTTTTTTCTGACAGACCAAAAGGCATATTCAGTGTCACACCTGTATAAAGTAGCCTATAAAATGTTGTCAGGGCAACTGATTTTTTAATGGATTTGGTTGGGGTTAAAAAAAAAACACCACTCATCAGAGCTTGATATACCATTTTTAAGAGAACAGAGGGGTTGTATGATGGGGGCGCACAGATTCATTGAATGTAAAGTCATTGTGGACGTGACCACCACGGTGATGAGAGTACATCCTGTTATGACCCAACCTGCTGTCAATGCGGCGCAACGGGTAGGGGGATTTTGCACTCCCCCCCCCCCCCCCCCCCCCCACCAGGAGAAAAAGAGGAAAGATAACGGGGAAAAAATGGAATGAAAGTCAATATTTTACTTCACATACGTCATTTATGGCGGATAATGGCGCGGTATAAATTTCCATTATTATTATTTAATGTATATAAAGACTATTTAAATGGCCATAAAATGTGATTATTTAAGCGCCCCAAGCGTCATATGACCTGTGGGCATTGTGGGCACAGTGAGTAGGCCCCGCACACCTCTAAAAGGATGAGTTTGCTGTGGCTCCACATACAAATTTATTTTCTTTCAACAAGTTTGTGTGAAGTTTACTCATTTATGAAAGTTCGATGGTGGGCAAATGATAAGTAGCAACCCCCATTTTTAAAAAAAATAGATGCCATGCATCTAAAAGTGTAAGTTTGTGACGGCTTCACATTAAAAAAAAGAAAGATTTTCATGAATATATTGTCCGTGTGGAGTTTAATCCATTTATGAAATGTAGGCACAACTTTCTTTTATAGGGGCATCATGACTACCTTCCGCCCCCTGATTTTACTATGGCTGCCACGCCCCTAAATGGGTGTGTTTACGATGGCTTCATGTGTGATTTTTTTTCTCGTCAATATATAAATGCCTGTGGGAATTAGCTTCATTCGTTTATGCGACGCAGGCCCATTTTTCCCATGTTGGGCATAATGAGAACCTCGCCCCCCCCCCCCCTTTTTGTCAATATGGCTGCCACGCCCCTAAAAGGGTGTGTTCACGATGGCTCCACATCTGGAATTATTTTTCTCATGAATGTCAATGTCTGTGGAAAGTTCCATTTCCCTATGAATATGGTAACAATATTTCCAGGGTGGGCATAATGAAAACCCCGCCTCCTGTTTTCTTATATGGTTGCCATGCCCCTAAAAGGGTGCGTTTGAGATGGCTCCACATCTGGAATTTTTTATCTCATGAATATAAACGTCTGTGGGACGCTTAATTCGTTCATGAAATATGGGCACAACGTTTTCCAAAGTGGGCATATAATTACCCCCCCCCCTTTCTTTTAATAGCTGCCACGCCCCCAAAAAGGTACTTTTGTGGTGGCTCCGAATCTGGAAAACACTTAAAAAATCTATAAAATTATGTCTTTGTGAAGTTTCCTACTTTTGTGACAAGTGGAAACAACCGTTTTAACTGCGGGCACGATAAGTCCCGCCCCCCTTTTTTCAAATGGATGCCACGCCCCTAAAAGGGTAAATTTACGATGGCTCCACATCTAAAACATTTTCTCGCATGAATATAAACATCTGTGCCAAGTTTCACGCTTTTATGCAAAAGTG